CCCATCTTCACACCCAACTACCACACCCACCAGCCCCACACCTATCGCACCCACCAGCCTTCTCCCGATCTCTGCCTTCGTCGTTCCCAGTCCTGTGCCGTCACCTGCTGTCTCCTCGTCCCTTTTCCTGCAAGATCTGCATTCCCCATCACCATCCTGCGGTGCTGCGCCTATTGCTTCCGCCCAATCTGGGTCTGCGCCTGATGCTTCTCTCTCCACTGCTTCAATTGGTGATTGCACTGGTTCTGATGATTGCTCTGTTTCGGCTCCTGCTGCTGCCCCGTCTTCTTCAGTTCCCTCTGCTTCTTCGGCTCATGTTCCTCGGCGCACCCATCATATGGTCACTCGTTCACAGGCCGGTGTTAGGAAGCCCAAGATCTTGCCATCTCTGCTTCATACATCTACTGATTTGCAGGAACCCAAGACTTTTAAACAAGCTTGTAATCTTCCAGAGTGGCAACGGGCTATGCAAGAGGAATTTTTGGCTCTACAGCGCAATCACACTTGGGTTTTAGTTTCTCCTCCATCCGGTGCTAATATTGTGGGATCCAAATGGGTATATCGTATTAAACAGCGAGCTGATGGCAGTATTGAGCGTTATAAGGCTCGCCTTGTCGCGCAAGGGTATACACAGCAGCCTGGGATTGATTATGATGAAACTTTCAGTCCGGTGGTCAAGCCCGTTACCATCCGCACCGTTCTTACACTTGCTATTTCCAAGTCTTGGCCAATTCATCAACTTGATGTCAAGAATGCCTTTCTCAATGGGTATTTATCTGAGCCTGTTTATATGTCTCAACCCCCTGGATTTGTTGATCCGCAGTATCCAGATCGTGTTTGCCTTCTCCAACGAGCTCTTTATGGTTTGAAACAGGCTCCTCGTGCCTGGTTCCAGAGGTTTGCTGCTTTTCTTCATTCCTGTGGCTTTGTTCAGGCATATTCTGATTGCTCTATGTTTTTATATCGCTCAAATGGTATGCTGGCAATTATGCTCTTGTATGTTGATGATATGATTCTCACTGCTTCTACACCGTCCCTTTTGCATCGGATCATCTCTTCATTGAAGCATGAATTTTTTATGACAGATTTGGGTGTTATTAATTATTTTTTGGGTATTACAGCATCTTTTAACCCTGATGGTCTTTTTCTCTGTCAAACTAAGTATATATTTGATTTGTTGGCTCACACTGGAATGTCTGATTGTAATGCTGCTGCTACTCCTCTGTCACCAAGGCAAAAATTGGCTGCTTGTGATAGTCCTTCTTATTTGGATTCCACTCAGTACCGTAGTATAGTGGGTGCCTTACAATACCTGACATTTACTCGTCCTGATATTGCTTTTGCGGTTCATCAAGTTTGCCAATATATGCATGCTCCGACTCACAATCATTTTCAGGCCGTAAAACGGATACTTCGGTATTTAAAGGGTACTGCTCATTATGGTCTCCAGTTATTTAAGGAATTCTCCCCTTCGTTGCATATTTATACTGATGCTGATTGGGCTGGTTGTTTGGAAAGTCGGCGTTCTACTTCAGGCTACTGCTTGTTTTTTGGCAAATCCCTCATCTCTTGGTCTTCTAAAAAGCAGAATACTGTTGCTCAATCTAGCGCTGAGGCTGAGTATCGTGCTATGGCTAATGCTGTTGCTGAGGTTGTTTGGGTTCAACAACTATTGGCTGAGTTACAAGTATTTCTCTCTTCTGCTCCTATTGTTCTTTGTGATAATATCAGTGCTCTCTATTTGGCTCTCAATCCTATACAGCATCAGCGAACCAAACATATAGAGATTGATATTCATTTTGTTCGGGAACGGGTTGCTTCTCGTGCCATTCTTTTGCAGCATGTCCCCTCCTCTTTACAATGTGTTGATATTTTTACTAAAGCTTTATCATCCACTGCTTTCTGCTCTCAACGGTCCAATTTGTGCGTGCTTCATCAGCCCGCTCAAATTGCGGGGGGATGACAGTATAATATTTGAGGGTATTTATGTAATTGTGTAGTGTAATGCTGTATATACATATAAATATGTAGCCCTAATTCTGTATTGGAATGAGAAGCATTATTCACAGTTTCAAAAGGAATAGAGCCAAGGAAACCATATATGTTCAGTAGTATTTACAAGTATGCATCCCATATCTCAAAAAGTACTTAAACATATATAGTCCTGTTCTCAAGGCACAATTTATGTAAACTCTTAGGCATTCTTTGAAAGTAAAACTGCGAGAGGGCAAATGGTAGAAGCTTGTGGCCTCTACTATTGAATCAAGACACAAAAAGGGCTACCTTCATCTGGATGAGTTTTGGAACTTTGTGCTCCAACAAGCGCTGAAGACAAGAAGAAGCAGCCCAAAAGGACACAGAGTTTTGCTTTGGACATCCCAAGATAGCAGAGTTCACCAGAGTTGTGAAGCATCTTTGACCACTACACACACAACCAAAAATGGGAGTCTTGTCTTTCAGTATGAGAAGAAAGCAACAAAGACTGAAAATTTAAATTTAGGGTCCGTTTGGTCCACAGAAAACCATTTTCAGAAAATTAACATTTTCTGTATTTTCCAACATCCAAAACACGCGGTTCCTAAGGATTCGACTGACAAAATAAGCGGGTTTTCGGGTTAAAACATTGAAGGCCAAGCAACTCCATTTGCACCAACAAGTAACATCATTTTACTCCGCCAACTACCAACAAGTTCGTCGGCGGCCATTTGCAGAGTGAAAAATATTTTTTTATAAAAAAATATTTTCTAAAATGAAGTCTTTCCCGTAAACCAAATAGATCCCTTAAACTTTTTATCAATCGGAAAAAGGAAACAACATTAGATTGTATTCATTCAGATAAATGCAAAACTCCTGCGCGAGACAGACTGCTAAAGAGACCATGAAGCATTGCCATATATAATTGCAAACGAAATAGCAAGGAGGTTTGGGAAGATATTACCGTGTGTAGAAATCTAGAATTGTAGAGACGAAAGGTTTCTGCAACATGAAATGAAAATTGGAAGATATATAGGACTCCCCATGTGGCTAGCGGATGGACCACGCCACTCCGATGCTGACGTGGCAAGCAATGAGCAAAAAAACGCAAAATTGGTGACTGACCCCGTAAAACCAAATAGTAGCCGCACCGAAATTGCTTGAAAACTAACCTTGGAAATTCTATGAGACATTAATTCATCTTGGACATGGTTTCTAACTTTCTATTCGTACCTAACAGTGCTGATTATTGGATTCCCCATCACTCATTTTCTCAGAAACCCAAGGATGGGAAAATTGAAAATTTTTTCCCGCTGATGTAACAGGATAGGGTCCTCAAGTGTGAAAGGAATTTCGCATTAGAGGAAAAGTGAAGATGCACCACAAACTGAAAATCGGGAGGGAAGACTTTGAATGCAGTGAATATAAGGTTCAGAAGGCAAGGAAGGTAAGTAAAACCTGCCGCACATCTCAACATATGATACATCAGAGTCAGGGACAACAACTGCTAGCCTCCAACACGTTTTCTTTAGCTTTTCATTTGTTTGAATTTAGGAGTCAATAAAATAGCGTAGGGCATCCGTATTCTGAAATTGCTTGGAAATTCATCGGACATGTATTCATCTTCCACTCGGTTTCTAACTTTCTATTAATCAATACC